AGATTCCAGGGGGATTGGGTGGAATACACAGAGAGAAGAATGCAGGAAACTCTTAACCGTCTTGGTTGATTGGGGTTGATTGAGTTAAAACCTTCCGGAATCATGTAAAATGATTCTGAAGTCAATAAAATGCTGATGGAAGGATGATTAATTTAAAGTACAATAAACAGACTCCTTGTCATGTAGTTGGCTTTGTGGCAAAATACATGTTTTCTCAGTGGAATTGTATCAACGTTCATTTTTCTTTGATTCTGGATATTGCTCTCAATTTTCTTTTGAGGGGAGGCTTCAGAATTTTTTAGTAACCCCTGACTTGTTCCTGTTGGAACTTGCGTGTTCAGAAATTGGCCTTGTGTCAGCACATCACCTGTTAGTTGTTAAGAGTTTAATTTTCAAAGCTATGATTTCATCTCCCTGCAGAGAAGGTGGACAAAGGGATTCAATGCAACAGCAGTGGTTTAGTTTGAGATGTAAACCAAAAAAAAAGAGAAAAAAATTGGGGGGATGAACTCAGACCAGACTGAATGGAATATTTACATTTAGAAAGTATTACAGCTTGGAATGCATGATAAGCTAAAGGCCTTGTCATTTAGGCTGTAAAGGAGTTTTATCCAGTAATGACCATAATATTTTGTTTAAAAATCAGAATAAATGAACTAGAGCATTCTCCAGGAGTGGGAGAAGAATGTATTTGCTTTTGTTTCCATTCAGGTCTGCAGTTGCTACTGTGCCTGCTTTGTTTTGGTCTAATAGTAATTTGTTTCATTTGAACTTTGTGTTGAGTTCTTGTTCCAAAATTTGCAAGTGTTGTGAAATAGCAAAGCAACGGTATTCAGGGCAGAGCAGTACCACCGTGAAACAGGGAAATGCCAGTAACGAAACTGGGAACTTAGGAGGGTGTTCGAGAGATGACCAGAGATCAGGGTCTCGGCGGGCAGGATGAGGAACTCGCCCTGAAAACTTGCTTTAGGATGAGGTTTCTGTGGAGACTTCGAACACTTTTGGGTTGTGTTTGAGTAGGAAATGCCTTGAGAACAGCTTTTCCTGTGGTCTTATCTCAAGCTTAAATACAAAGATATACAGCCTGTTTTCTTTTCTCCTTTAAAAATATTTAACTGAACTTTTACAAACCTCAGCAGGAGAAAAGCAGTTTTGGTTCAAGTGCTGAGAACAGGCTCAGACCAGTTTTCCCTACCCATAAACATTTGCCTAGTTCTGAATATTACAAAGGATTTTTTGAATTGATAGAAATGAGAACTACCTTCAAGTTAAACGTTAACAGAAAATGTCGTAACTTTTAGGACTTTCTCTTCCCCCTTTAACCTTCTACTCTAATGATGACTGAAAAGAAGAAAAATATTAATCATAAATGTGTCTTTTAAATGAAATTGATGTGTTCGTGTTACAGTCAGATTTGTAAGGCATCCATCCCTTTTCTTGCTACGTAACAGCTGCCCATACGTGAATATATCACATGCTGACATGGCATTCCGACTCAGTTGTTCTCTTCCCTAATGATCTACTTCTCACAGCTTTTTCACTGGATTGTTTTATATCTGCAGCTAAAGCAAGACACGTTGGTTTGCTTTTTTGTTTGAAATTATTCAAAAGTACAGAAAAAGTCATCTGTGCAAATATAGAGGTATCTCTTCATATTAACCTAAGATTTCAATCTGTAGTAACGGAAGAATTAGACCCTCAGAAACTTGTAATATTGAATAGCTTGTATATTTTCCTCATTTAAAAAAAAACAGAGATTTTGGTGTTCAGTACTTCTGTAAAGTGTGTCTCATAGTTGCCTTTTGCCTGAGTGGTGGTGGTGTAATTATTCTCTAGGGGGGAAATGCCTTGAGTAAATATATGGAAGGAATGGAATAGACATTATGCAACTTCCATCCTTTTTGTGAGGCCTCATTTTTGTAAAATGTTCTTGTTTTGGTCTTCTGGCTGGATAAATACAAGCTGAGTGAATCCTGATGTCATGGAAGCTCTTTAACACTTTCTTTTGCCTCAACACTTAGAAGCAAAGCTTTTCTCTCTGGACCCTGTTCGCTTGCAGGAGTTGATTTTCAAACGTCTGGTTTTTTTCCCCACTGTTGGAAGATTGCTTTTAATGACACAGAACTTTAGTGACTCAAACCTTTGAGCAGAATGGTGCTTCCAAAGATGGGTCTGACCTAAGAATTCAGATCCAATCTCAATTTTGAATACCTTTTCCCACCTAGTGCTCTTTCCAGCTCCACACCTAAATCCAGAGTGGTTATTCTGGAAATTTGAGTCAGCTCCCTTACAGAGAGGGAGGCTCTTTTCATCTAATGTAAAATTGGTTTAAGACATGGATGAAACACCATATACATCTTTAATCCTAAAGGTGCATAAACCAGATGCGAAAGTAAGGCTGGCTGCAAGCAAAATCCACGCAAGTAGTCTGTATCCCCTCCGGATCCAGAAAGTCTTCGTTTCTAGCATTTGCACATGCTCTGATCTCTTGGGTTTGGATTGGGTTTGTCTCTGTCAGTGCTAAATCAAAAAATTGTTGTCTATATTGGCTTCAGCTCGAATACCTCCTAATCTTCTGTTTTTAAACAGGGGAGAGACCCCCTTTGACCAGACTTGCATGCACAGCTGAGTTTTGCTGTTCTCTGTGCTGTGAGTCTCTCTGCGTGCACAAGCAATGCTTGATTATTATGGGAGAGCTGAGGAGAAGGCCAGAAGAAAAATTCCACCCTCCATGCCCTCCTCCTCCTCCTCTCTCCCTCTCCCCAAGCTCCTCTTTTGTGGTCGTCAACGCCAGTGCAAAGCGTTCTGTTCCTGAAAAGGAAGTGGGGTACCTCAACTTCCCTGAAGGACCATTAGAAAACTGTAATTTCAAAATGAGTTTCCTGTCCAAGGAAGAGGGCTTAGCACTTACAGGAACAGTTCTCCACTGTACAAGGCAGACATTTTAGTTTTATGAGGAACAAATAAAACATTCCTCTGTGCTTTACAGGCATAACACTTTCTTAGACTCTTTAGTTACAAAATGACCTGTCTGCATAGTTATGCTGATCAGTTGCAGAGAATAACACGGCCCAACTGTTTAGCAGTGCCCGATGCAGTAAAGAAGCGGAGGTGGGGGAAGCAAGAGGCAAACCAAAAAGCAGTCTGCTATTTGCGGCCAATCCTTCCCCTGCTTTTCAGCCGGTAAGAAAGGCCGAGATACAAACAAAACAGTTTGTGATCTAGAGAGATGGAGATGCTGGCATTGCTCCAGTGACACAGAATCTTACGGAGGGCAGCGGGGATGCGCGGGGTGTAACCGAGAGCGCAGCTTGTCCGTTGGAAGGTGAGACGGGTCCTCTGTGCAACGGGCAGCTGTATGCTGTGCCGAGCGCAAGCGGAACCCCACATGTCTGAGCTGTGGCTTTTGAGAAGTATGTGAAAAGGATTATGCCAGCTTAATTGAGTTCTTTGGAGGTGTGGAAAGCGTAGTCAGGTTGACCTTACCCCGCTAATCCTTCTTTAAAAATAAATTAAAGCAATTGTTGTCAGCATGAAATGTTGAGTTACTTTTGGGGGCTTAGACTTAATATTCTATCTCACCCTATAATAAAGTTAATTGTGCACTTTGAAGAACACACAAATACTGAAAGCCTACCAAAATCCTCAGTGAAGCTCAGCTGTAGAACATCCAGAAGCAGCTGTAAGTTTTCCAGTTGGTGTCATAACTAGCTTATTATAGGACTTAGGATGAAAAATAATTGGAGAATCGTGTTAAATTCAGCCTAATGAAAAGCCATAGTCTGTGCTAGTGCTACTTAAGATTTACTGTGTGCTATGGTAAGGGCATGTGGTCATGCGAGCTTTGATTTTAGTCTCTTTCATTTCCAGGTTAATGTTTTAATGTTTTAATTCAGTTCTGTTTGCCTCTAAAGCAAGCTTATGGGAGAGCTTCGTGGTACAGTCAGTTCTTAAATATGAAATCAATCAATATATTAGTGTGCAATAGATGTAAAAAAGGCATTTTCATTTTCTTTTTTTCTCTTTTTCTCCAAACATTAACAGGTTTGCAAAGGGAAGTGTACCAAAAGCAATAGCGAAACAGAGTCTGGACAGAGGGAGATGACAGGTTATGTATAACGGAGACAGCAATAGAACGCGATTGCAAAGTCAGATAAACATGTTATGTCAGTTTTTTAATTGTTCCCAGGCTTTCTTATAATTAATTGCATTCTTTGCCTAAGGCTGGTTGAGTTGAAGACAGATAAGTTAGCAGGTAACGCTCTAGCCTTTCGCTTCATAGAGCCTTGCAGGGGAGCGAGTTAATCTTTCCTAATTCCAGTAAAAGCCATCATATGCACAGCTGTGAAACGTATTTTGTCAGGACTGGAAATTCCTTCTAAGGAGATAATTGACTAGGAGCAAACAAACATCATTCATCAATTACTTTTTCTGGACAGAAACTTCTTCTCAGAGAAAAAAAATCATTAAGTCAGTGTAGCAGCAGAGTTTGTATTTTTAGTGTCCTAACTTGGCTGTGTGCTTACATGCTTCCATAATGTTAAAAATGAGAAACTAGGAGTAGCATCTTTCCCAGTAATAAAAAAGTAGAAGCAATGCAAGCCAGAACTCATATTTATGACAGGTTTGAGGAGAAAAAACCTATAGCATTTGTACATCTAGTACTCCATCACCTGGTAGGAGAGGGGTCCTGGGAGATGAACACATAGTAGCCTTGAGAAGAACACTGAAGAGTCAAGAATCTAGGGAAACTGCTTTAAAAGGACAAAAAAAATTATGTATAGTTTAGACCACAGGACTTCAAGTGTGCCCTTCAGTGATTAGACATATAAAAAGAAAATTATAATTTCGGGGTTAGATGTCTACCCTGTAGAGGGTACTCTACAGCAGTTAGGAATAACATGATGTAATTCAGATATCTTTTTGCATGGATGCTAAATAACACATTGATTTTTCTTAATGATCACAGTGTAATTAAAAGGGGCTTACTTTTTCCCCAGCGGAAATTCTTGAATTGGCTGGAAATGCAGCAAGGGACAACAAGAAGGGTCGAGTCACTCCTAGACACATCCTGTTGGCTGTAGCAAATGATGAAGAATTAAATCAGGTAAGAAAAAGCTCCACTGTGTGAGGGCCGGGATTTCCTTTAGGGCTTTTTAAATTGTCTTTCCATATAGCTGAATTGTAACTCAAGACCTCTGCTTATTGAGTAGCCCACCAGGAAGCAGCTCATTCACTCACTAGCCTGCTGCCTGTGTAAGTAACTACAGCACCCAGCTTAATTATGTATTTCAGGACTCTTAAAACGTGTAAAAATGCAACGGAGATGTAATATGACATCGCTTGCGCTGTTAGAACCACTTCTGCTCAAGTGGGACATTGTCATAAACACTATGGAGACATGGAGAAAATCTTGTAGATGCTTTTGTTTGTTTGTTTTTCTTTTCCCCCTTAAGCAGCTTAGGACTCAGTGGGACCTATCCTGTTCCCATTGAAGTCTGTCATTGTGTCCATAGAATTAAGAGTTCTGGAAGTCTTGCAAGGCTGTGTCCTTTGCAGATTTTAAGATGCCTTTAACTTAGCCCAAAAATATTTTGGCATTATTATTACAGTGTTGTGGTGTCAGCCAGAGGCACTGGCTAGGATTAATGTTCCTTTGTGTGAGGTGCTGTAAAAACACATCTGAAAAGATACTTTTTCGAAACCTGTGTATCGTGATGGAGCAGAATAAAAAAAATAAATCCCCAAACCAACTTCCTTCTGGCTTTGTCTGAAATTTGATAATACTTTCCATTCATCATCCCTTTGTAAGCTCGGAGTTGCGGTTGGGGAGCAGTAAACACGAATCAGAAGGTGGGAGTACCTGAGGGACTTTGATGTCACCATTTGTATCCTCCCAAAGAGTGAATTAGTCCCAGTTAGATATATAAAAAGTGGGTTAGAGTGGTTTTAAATACAGAACATGATATATTTCACGTCTGCTTTTAAGGGCTTGAATGAACTGCCCACTTTTGAATATTGATCTGCTTTTCTTCAACTACATAAAGATTTTTTTGAAGAAAGTCTTCCAGATATAGAGATTTGTATAAATGTTACCCTCCATTTGAAGTTTCTTTTTCTAAGTGAAAAAAAAAATCTATTTTAAAAAATGCCCTTTCAAGACATTTTTAGCAATTGGGACATATCTTGCACTCACCTCAGCGTGGTGCCCATTGCAGTCCTGTAGCATGGACTTTGGGGTCCCATCCCTGACGCGGGCTGCCCTGCAAGGCCCTCGTGGCTGGGGCTGTCCTGTTTCCTAGTAGCCGGGTGACAGTCTTCACTGCAGGTCTTCACAGAAACAGAGCTGGTGTGAGCCCAAGAGATACTGACAGTAACAAGCATCTATGCAAGAAGAATGCATATTCCCTTTACAGATAAAATTTAGTACATGGTCAGCTTCATTTCATACATTCCACGTCTCTCTTCTTCAAGGATAATGTGTTGAGAAACCTACAAGACCCAGTTAAAACTCGATGTACAAAGTTTGCAGAAAATGCCATTTTCTATTTCTTGGTGAGTAAACACTGAAACGGGTCATTTACAACTTTTATTCTTTTATTAGCTATTGAAAGGGGTCACCATAGCCAGTGGTGGAGTGTTACCCAATATTCACCCAGAGCTGTTGGCAAAGAAGCGGGGATCAAAAGGAAAACTGGAAGCCATCATTACTCCACCCCCAGCAAAGAAGGCAAAGTCTCCATCACAGAAAAAAACTGTATCAAAGAAAACAGGCGGCAAGAAAGGGGCAAGGAAATCCAAGGTAGAGTAATCTGTTTATTTTAAACCTAAACAAGCTTGCTAGTAGGGAGAATCATGTAGGGTAGACTTTCTGTGTGGTGTTAACAGCAATTTCGGTAGAAGTGTCAGAAATGCTGAAAGAGGAGTCCTGCCCTCTCCCTAGTGTGGCTGGGAGTCTGAAAACCCTCAGGAGTGACACAGGTCTGCAGGGCAGGCAGGCAAGCTGTAAATATTCTGTTCTTTGTACGAAATGGTCATTAGGTGGGCACAGGCTGGAGGCACCAAGAGGCAGAGGAGGGTGTATGGGGGCTACAGTAGTTATGCCATACTGGTGAGCAAATGAGACCTTGCGTGGCAGCGGTAGGGGCAGCTTGGCTGTGACTGCACAGGTGCCTGTGTGGGGCTAGGCAGAGTAAACTTGCTTGGACTTTGTTCAAGTATTGATATGTGTCTGCAAGAAACAGGGAACCTGGGTGTATTTTTTTCCAAAGCAAAATCACACTAAAGCAGCATTTTGCAATTGCAAATACTGAAGAAAAACAGCAGCCTAAGTCACTTGCCTTGTAATAATGTCCTCAGCCATCAGCATGTCAGACCCCTGTTTTCAAGTGTTGTATTTTTCTGTTGTTTGTTGGGGTTTTTTAATGGGTTTCGGATTGTTCCAGCTTAGGATAAGATAGTTGATTTGATGACATCCAAGGAGCATGAAATACTCCTGAAGTAGGATGCAATTCTGCTAGATCAGGTAGCTGAGTCTCTTGCAGCATCAGAGAACTGTATTGTGGCTACACAGAATTTCTCTGGCTGAGTTAAAGACCCGTAAATGTCCCCCTCTGTTATTAGTTTATTACAGTTGAGACTTTTCCACGTTTAGACTTGTTTTGTTTTGTTTTAATTCCTATTAATTAATTAAACTCATTCAAAATGAAGAGTGGAGGTGAGGGGAAGAACAAGAGGACCAAAATGTGATTTTTCTTATGCTAGGAAACTAAGAATAAAACCTTTTTTTAAGCTAAGGAGAAGGTTCCTTCATTCCTTTTTTTTAGTTTCAGTTTGTAGGAGTAGGGAACCTTTCTAATGTGTTTGGTTGGGTTTTTTTTTCTTGGCAAAACAACTACATTCAAGCAAATAGGTTATGAAGGGAAGAAAAGCACACGAATTTCACGTGAAATGGACAATGCGTGTGAAAAGTTGCCTTCCAAGTCAAACAAAGCTTCCGTAATCATCCTGTATGTGTGTGTTATTGTTTACTTGGTCACTCTTCTGATTGCTTCCCTTTTTTGTTTTTCAAACTGTCAAATTTTGTTTTGTCTCTTAGAACACCTAGTAGCTGACATTTCAAGTGCAGTGCCTCTAATAACCATGCACTAATAATTTCCCTAAAGCTGGAATTTTTCCCCTACTTGATTACAAAAGCAGGAAATCTGTTGTGGGGTTCTGTTTTTCTTCTGCACAATAAACTGTATTGTCTGCTTACTATATTGGTATTTGGCTAACAGTAAACTCCTGGGGAATTGAAATAGGAGCCATGACAATCTAATTTTCAAAACATTTGTGTGAAGTAAAGCATGGTTACAGCTTCTAGAAGACCAATATACCCTTGCATCAAAGTCGCTTTAGTTGCTCGGCCACAGGTTGAGTTTATACACTGTGGAAAGGGACAATAGGAGAACAGTGGCTTGCTTAATATTCCAGGTGTGCATTTTAGCTTCAGCATAGGTATATTGCTGAGGCGCCAAATATTTATATGAAATCATAAGTAGTAATTTTATTGAAAACACAAAATGATTTTTGGCACCAACTGAGTTTCTAACCACAGCAGCCCATTCGCTATCTTCGTGAAGCATCATTTTCAAAATGTTCCTAATTCCCATTTTTATTCAGTAAATCGATTAATTCCTGAAGCCTATCATTCTACTGCAGTAATGCAGCTGCAAAAAAAAGGAATGGTGATTGAGGGGAACAACTCCTCCCCCTACGTTTTTACTGGAGGTAGAAGAAGGGGATCACGTTAAACAAGACAGAGAAAATTGTTCAGCCCATTTCCTACTACTAGGCAGGTAGAAAGTAGAGGTATTCGTCCTGGATTTGGATGGGATAGGGTTCATTTTCTTCCCAGTGGCTGGGAATTTCTGACAGTGGCTCTGAGGACGGCCAGATTTCAAAGCAGTGTTTCTAAAAATAAGTTTGTGAAATCTGGGAGCACCTCCCTTCAAAGAGACAAAATCTGAACTCTGACAAGTCAGTTTTTAACTTAGAATGAACGTCTGCCCGCACATTACAAATAGATACGTTCTCTTCCTGCGCACAAGCCATTAGAAAGCTGCTAAAAGTTTGGGGTTGTTTGTATTTTTTCCTGCAACTTTTAAGGCAACTGTTACCTGAATTGTGCGCTGTCCTGGGCAAGAAAAGGCTTATGTAGATATGTAGACGTTGAGGTCATTTTTCCTATTGATTCCTTCAGCTGTAATCAGTTAAAATCAGCTTTAGTTAAAGGATAAAATCCAAACACCAATGTTTGTACTGGCATTTTATTGCCTGGTGAGCATTTATGGCGTGTCATATATCTTGGTGTTATTAAACGGTGTTTTTCCCTCAGCCTTGAGTTAACTAATTAACTGTATTTTTGGAAGAAGAAGCAGGGAGAAGTGAGCAAATCAGCCAGTGCTGACAGTACAACAGAGGGAACTCCTGCAGATGGTTTCACAGTCCTGTCCACCAAAAGTCTCTTTCTTGGCCAGAAGGTATGCTCCTGCATTTTTATAAATGAATAACTATTTTTCAGTGCTGCTTAGGGAATACCCCCTCCCACCGCCCCCCTTTCCCCAAAACGTCTAAGTACTATGGACGTTTCCCCACTGAGCACTCGAGGAGGTGTATGGTATTAGGTTTTGAACAAAGAAATTCTCTGAAACAACTTCTAGAACATTTTAAAAATACAAAAATGAGTTTTCATATGGCTACGTAATTAAATACTCAACTAGAAGGAAAGCCTGTGTGCTTGTAAACTATCTCGCCATATTCATAAACAGCATAATTGTTACAGCTAAGCTTCTGCCAAAAATGAGATTATTCCAAGAATAAAATGTCTTTTTCCAATGGGCAGTCCACTTCATTGCTGATGCAAAAGATTTACAGGTTTTTATCAAAACCTATTTTAGACATTTGTTCATAATAGTGGTTTTATGTTTTGTTCTGCTTTGTTATTTACTAAAGTTAATGCTGTGTAATAATGAATGATGCTTTTATGAAAAGCTAGAAGTCAACAATCCTTTTTTTCCCTGTGAATATGTTTGGGACATGGGGTGGTTTAATACAAATACATACCTGCTTAAAGAGAGGATCCATTTAAAGAGACAATTCATTAAATTAATTTGGTCCTTTATCTTGAAACCTGCCTTTAGTTCGTGATGCAAAATTTTGTTAAGTAAAAAAACTGCATCTTTCTTCTATCATTCAGTAATCAGATCATTGTGTTGTAAGTCATAAAAGACGAGCCATTGTCCATTGTGGAATGTATCTCCTCTGACTCATTTTTATTTCATACTGAGGTTGTTCTCCATTTATCCTGCCACAGTTTGTTTGCTAAGTTTAACATGCATGAGAGAAACGTTATTTTTTTGCAAGACTTCTGATTTTCCACATTTAATTTTACAGCTCAAGCTAGATTGTTGGTTTGGTGGGGTTTTTTGTTAATTTGACTACTACTAGGGGGGTGATTTCGAACATAGCTTTAAAAACATTAGACTAAATTAGAACCCCAAATTTATAAACTATGTTACTGTTTCAAGAAAGCACATCATGTCAGACTTTGGGACCTTATTTTGATCTCCTTTCAGTTACCACAGGAAACCTGTAATAAGACCTAGTGCGTTCCAACAAGACTGACCCAGCAAATCAAGGAGGGTTTGCTGTTGGGCTCAGTGGAGGAGAATCACGCACTCCAGGACTGCTTTAAGCTGTGGTGAGCAAAGCCAGTGTCTGTTGTAGAGCTTTCCAGTGCGTACCGTGTACTGGGAAATGGACTTTCTGGCTTTCTCATTCACTTGGAGTGCAGCCCCTGAAAAAATTACTGGTACGACGTGTCCATCCCCATACTGGTTCATTGTTAGTTAGCCCTGCACATGAGAGAGGCCAGGCGTTAGCCTTTATTTGTGACACAGTACACATAATTAATGGAAAAATGAAAAGAAAAACAACAACCCGTTTGTCTCCTGTGAGGCAACACTCCAAATGAAATGGATTATTTTCTGAGGGGTCGAGAAGGCATAGGTGCTGTTGAGCTGTGTCTAGCACAGGTTCTGTTTTGCTTTTGATTCCCCGTGAGAAACTGTCTTTAGAGGCAGTAAGTGGTTCGTGTAAAAAATCTAAGAAAAGTAGGCTGTGGCTAACAAAAATAAGAATTTTCTGTGTCTATTATGTATGAAGTTAAAAACTAGATTCTTGCCTTGTTCGAGCTGACAAATAATATATTAATGTCTTTGTTCTGATTTACCCCCAAAATAGCACATTTAGACCAACCTAAATTATTTTAAGTATTCCTGTTAAGGCTGAAAATGTGCAAAGGTTAAAACACAAAAAAAAACTTCACACTGTAGTGATCAAAGAGATTTTATTTAGCATAAAAACAACCAAACCCAATGTATTGTGCTGGCTTATTCCTGGAAATATTTTCAGACCATTCCCCAGAAATGATTTTCAAAGCATGCATTTTCAAAATTATCCAAGTAATTTTGATTTTTCTTGTGATAAAAAAGGCAAAGATAAAACTTTGAATCGTGGGATCGGTGGGAGTTGAATGCGTCCTCTCCCCTAAACCTGAGGCGTGTTCTGCGTGGGCCAGGAGGCTCCTGCGCGTGACGGGATGCCTGCTGCTACGCGCAGGTTTAGCAGACTGGATCTCATTGATGGTGGTGGTTCTTCGTTATTTAAGTGACACACAGAAGCCTCAAATAGTTGCTATTTATTTTGGAAATTTACAAATTAAATATATTATCTACAAAAACTCTAGTTACTTTGAATCAGTTCAACACTTCTGCTTAGCCATTTCTACATGCAATTGCTGTTTAAAAAGATAATATTGATTTTCAAAGTATTTAAGTCTGACGCTTAACAGAAGAAAATCTGTTTAGTTATAGTTGCCTTAAATTAGTGCCACGTGGTACCCATAAACATAATGAACTAGGAATTTTCTTCAGTAGCAATTCAGGACAGTAGTGTCGCAGTTCGATTCCTTAGACTTGTGCGTGTTGCTTTTTTTCAAAGCATATGAGGGCAGAAGGTGTTTGCCTGTTTGGATGAGAACCTTTCCTCTATTCAGCATGGCCTCGCTCTCCGTAGACAGCATTTTGAAGAAAGGAAAAATCTGCTAGTCTTTGGGTAGGGAGGACAGTGTGTCCAGGTGCTTCAGGAAACCAGGACTCCTGGCTTCTGGGTTTGGCTGATTCAGAGACACAGTAAATCACCTCCATTTGCAAAATGGAGATAGTTCTGCTCCTCACATGGATGGTAGGAGAGCGTAGTAGTTAAAACATTTTGAGCTTTTTCATTTGAAAAGCAAAAATATTCATCTTAATCACGGTGATTTGATTTTTCTCGAGTGTGTACTTACGGATTTTCAGTATATGTTCATGTTCTGTGTGTTAATAAACTACAGGGCAAACACAGAAACCTGGAACCGAAAATCCCAAACACACGATGGGTAACTTTTGAACCTCCTGTGACATCCTTGAACAGCTTTACAGTGTGTCTCTTTGCAAAACCACTGTCTCCTAGATCAGGAAATAATTTGCTAGATGCAGAGAAGGAAGAAAATAATCCTGTTCGTAGTATCATGTCATTCACAAGTGTTTAACGGGGAAAATCTTTTTCTTGGCTCCATGTTTGCAGAATGGAAAGGGAAGGGTTTTTATTTCCAAGAATGACTCTTCATCCTTCTAATACCCCCAGACTTAATTACTGAAAACACAAATGAGAATGTTTCAAACCTGGGTATTGTTCAGTTTTTAAAAAGTACTGTTAATGCATTAAATCTTTAGGTAACTGCCGACATTCAGCTGGAAATTCTTAGAGGTCAGGAAATGGCAAAGAGCCCTTCAGTTATACCTGCAGAAGTGTATTAGTGCTACACTAATTAAGTATTAAAATCTAGTTAATATGTAAATGATTGTACACCCTACCAGTGGCATCCCAATGGAAACGCGGTATTTCTGCGCATTAACTAGTTTGTTTTTCCGAGACAATTATGGAGTAGATAGAGGCAGAGTTGTAAGACCTCAAGCCTAAGCGTTAGGATTTGGGCTTTCAGAGACACCTCAGCTTGTTGTCTGCAACAGGCATCTTCCGTTTTCTGTATGAAACTCATACCAGAAAAAGTTCCAAGACTTTAAAGGTAATTTTGTCTGAAATAAGAAATGCAAGGCTTGGCTCAGAGAATACTCATGGATGTGCTAGGTGCCATCTGCATTTTACCTAACTAACATTTAATTAAAATGTTACCTAAAGTTATGTCCGTTCTTTGTTGCACATGTATATGCAAGTTGTGCCTATTTATTTTTTTTTAAAGTGACCCTTTAGGGGATCGCTTCTTCAGTCTAATAGGTGCTTCATACTGTTGGGTAGTAAAATGGAGCAATTACTCATTGGAGGGTTTCATTCTACAAGATAAGTTTTGATTTTTTTATTATTATTATTGTTGTTTTTGGCAATCAGATAGCTAACAGTGCATTGAACAGTAAATACAAAATTTATCCAGATAATACTTAGCTGCCAACACACGTTACCAGTGATGGGCAGCTTTTTAAGCATTTTGTTGTTGCTGTTAAATTGAAACTTTAAGTACCAGCTGGTTGCTATGTAAATCCCATATATGAGTAGGCGCAGAGATAGATTACAGGTCTGAAACCAAAATGGTCTGCAGCCAATAGATCTGGGGCAAAACCTTGTGGAACACAGAATGAGGGATCAAAGAGAGTCACCTATAAAATGAACAACAGATGCTTAGGAACATACTAAAATCTCCACAAAACAGTCTTTTGGTGTGTGCATGTGTTTTGTTGTTGTTTTTTTATTTCAAAATTCATAAAGTTTCTTTAACATTTTGGTTTGATTTGATTTGACTTTTTTTTTTTTTTTTTAAACAGCAGTTGCTTGTAGTCAAACTCAAGACTCAAACTCAAGTATGAATAACTCGCCACGTGTGAAGTATTAAAGGATTCCAAGCTATTTGGAAAGCAAGCTTTCTTAGATTTTATTACAAATTCCTGAACAGACCCGTACTTAAAACAGGGCTGAATTACACTCATTTTAGCCAAAATCACCCTATTTTGAGGGAACGTAGTTTACTCAAGCAACATATGCAAATTATATGAAATTGCAGGCTTTTAAAAAGAGAAAGAAGGTCAATTCATGTAATCACATGAATGAAATGGAAATAATTTTTTCATAAAACTTAAATATATGGATGTTGGCCTCCTTAAATGACCCATTCACTTGTATTGGTTTCATGAATTGGCTCGTATTCCCTCCTAATAAACCCACATACACAAGGAGAAGATTTGGAGAGTTAAGTTTGCAGAATGTGGATTACAAACCTAGAGACAAAATCCAGTTATTGATGAGATTAATTGCCATGCCTGAATGTATACGTTATGCTTCATGGGTTGAGCCCAGTGGGCTTTGGATTAGAAGGAAAGCCGGGCTTACCTGCAGCTAGCTTCAGGGCTTGCATCCATGAATGAGAACTTTCTCTTTCATAGTTGCTTTCCATATTGCCTAATCAGCTACTGAATCGGTCATTTTAAATGCATGTTGTAGCTAGAAGCCTAATTTACAATGTAGATAATATATTTCCCCATATGAAAGAGTCTGGAAAAGTTTTTGCACTTTGAAAGTATTTTAAATTTTGGCGGTAATAAACTTGGTGCATGTGAAATCGGACTTCCCAACATCGGCTACGAAGCTGTGTTACAAACCCCTGGATCTAAGCGTCCTCAGGTACCGGTCAGCGTGCTGCAGTTTTGACTTTTGCCAAGGTTGGCGTTTGCATCCAATTGCCTCAGATTACAGAGCTGTTTCTGGGGTGTGGGTCGCACCCGAGCTGTCAGCAGTAAGCAAATTGCACAACCACTTTACACCTCTAAGCACTTCCAAAAAAGCATCCTCACTAGTATGGGCAGGGCAGGATCAGTTTGTTACCGTTGCTGGTCTTTTTGTGGACTTCTTATTTTATATATTAAGTCTTGCTCAAAATGTGTTGCTAGGAGTTGAAATCTGAGCTTCCTCTTATTTCATTAATTCTTTTTATTCTTTTAAGGGCACGCAGTGCGGATGTGAGGTTAATCTCTAGATACCTGTGCTAACGTCCTCACCTTACCGCGTGCCCCTAAGAAATCCTTCTGAGTTTGTGATGATTCAGACAGCAATGGAGAAGCATGCTTTGGAGACACGGGTGTTAATGAGAGGAGTTGATGGGCATTAGTGGGTGGGGTTAAAATCACTATTTTCATAAATGACAAAAGGAAGTAAAGCAAATAAAATAAAAACTAGAAGCAATAAGCACGTAAGAGTGCCTGCTTGCAGGCCTTCACTGGCCATTCACAAAGACAGCGGAACTGTGCCACTGAAAACTGAGGTGCCCGCCATGAAAAAATGAGGTGACCGCTAATAAGGAAAGAAAGAGAGACCTGTCCCCTTGGGAGGGGGGAGGAATCACTTTCTGAAAGGTACACTCGTGTTTGCTGGCTTAAAGAAGGAGAAGCAGCATCTTTTACCCAGTTTCAGTGCTGAACGGTCACGGCACGTTCCTGTAATCGGTGCTTAAGAAATGATTAGGGTGTCCTTCATCTCTGATTTGAGGAGAAACAAATACGCCCTTATAATCCCAAAATAAGAATCCAAATAGTGGTCAGCGTAAAGCCAAAATAGACCTTGTTAGTAGGCACGCTCATGTCCTCCCAGTGTGAACAATGTTTGAGTCTTGTGTTTGAATTTTTTTTGGATAATAACCCTCCTTTATGACCTGCCTTTTATTTTGCGTATTTGTTTGCAGTGATGCTATCTCCATCTGTGTTGCAAAGCTCACTTTTCTGCAGCTTCTCTGTGATTTCCCAGCTGTCCTGTTATTTCCCACCTCATGCTTTTCTTTTCAGCTGAACCTTATTCACAGTGAAATCAGTAATTTAGCCGGCTTCGAGGTGGAGGCCATTATCAATCCTACCAATGCTGACATTGACCTTAAAGATGACCTAGGTAAATGGGGCATGGGTTGACACAACTAACGGTCACATGGAAATTATGGAACCCAGAATTTACTCCTTAGGGCTTCATACATTTAATAAGAGCAGAAATTCAAATCTTGGAGGTTCTGTTTTGTTGAAGAACTCTATTCAAAATACTTTTTCACCAAATCCGAATACTTGCAGCTCTTGCTAGTCTTCAAGTTGATTTCAGTGAAACAAATCATTTAAATTCTTTTCCATAATGATCATATGTGACTGTTAGCTATTTTGGGGGGTTTCTTATTTGGATACTTTGAGGACTAAAATACTTTTTTGTCAGGTTGTTTTCAAAATAAGCAGTTTCTCCATTCTAACTGCAATCTTGGGGGTTTTTTTGATACTCAGAGTAGGCATAAAATTATTAAAGAGGAATGATTAAATAATTAACTATCCCCCAGTCTTTCCTACCTTGATTTCATGTTTAATTCAGTCAAATAATTTGTTTCCATTATGCTTCAATTACTCCCCATCACTTTCACATTCGGCTGAAAACAAATACTGATATTATCCCAACAGTGAACTTGCAGATGCTGCCATAGATGGTGCATTGCTTTTAAAGCTTCTATCTTGTTCCAGATTGGGGAAAAAAAAAAAAAATTAAATCCTTCTTCAACTGAAGTCTGTTCTTCAGCAAAAAGAAAAGAAACATTAACTTCCATGCATTATGAACTGCATTCCCTTCTTATTTGATTACGCCTGCTGCTGTCTTTTTGTTAAACTTCCTTAATGGAATCCAACCCGTAATTATTCTACGACTGCGTTTCCTGTGGGCATATACTCAAGTGATTGAACAAGAGGAAAATTTAAGAAGGCTCATTTTTAAATCGGCCTTTCTCAGGCTTACGCATATTTTTACAAGTGTCTCAGCCATCCCAACACAGGGTTAGATAATATGCCTTACCTGTAAAATAAAAGAATGATCATGTATATTTTTTGAAACAAATTCGGTTACAACCCTGTCTGCAAATACATGGTTTCCTCCCTATGAAGGAGACTGGCATTCTTAGAAACAAAATGACGAATCACAGTACATATGAAGATTAGCGCCTGTCAGCTTATTGGTGCTGACAAAATGGAGAAACTAGTTATTTTGTTTGGCTTGATGATCCTGAATTTCTTTTTTTTTAAACAGATTCCATATTTTAGTGTCATGCTCTGTGGGGAACTGGTTGTTCTAGGTTTCTGCAAAGTGAAATGGGGTATTAGCTGATTTTAAAACTTTGGAAATGATCTCATGTGATTGCTCTGACTTGTCATTTTAACATTTTTCCCCACACACACCTGCACACACAACTCAGCATACTCCTTTGGCGCAAGGTTTGGAGATGTAAAGGTAGGAAAATATGGACGTTGGTACATGTGTAAATGTAGAGCCTGTGCTGGGTCTCTGTCCAACGTGGTTGATATACATCTGTTTACCTGTTGTAGTTGCAAGTTGTACAGGCTGACATTGCCACGATCGACAGTGATGCTGTCGTTCACCCGACAAACTCTGACTTCTACACCGGTGGTGAAGTAGGTAATGGAAAGTTCAGTGCTGCGGAGTTTGTATGTGTGTGCATGGTCAATCAGCAGCCACAAGCTTGTTGTAGCTATGCAGATTTGCATTCATTTCTCACTTCCAGCAGTCCTGACTGATAACAAAAAGTAATGAATAATTGCAAACCCAGTAGGCATTTTCGATTTTTATCACCAAATCGGACTTTCAGAAGTAACAGTAGAATGCACCGCCAAAATTTGAAGTGCAGGAACAGTACGTTCAACGCAGGCACGTGACTAAGGAAAAAGAATTACTGCATTGTTTGACGTGTTAAATGCCTGTTTTGAATATGGTTTGAGTCCTGATCTTTAGATTTCTAACCAGTTCCAGTACACCTTCTCCATGCCAAGTTTCAGATGTTCACATCTGACACGCTGGACCTAGCCCATCTGTGTTTTCCGAACTCTTTAAGATTGGTTGGTGTTTTCATATTTGACCTGACGGACCGGTTACCTCCAGAGCCCTGCTCGACGGTCCTCGTGCCCACAAGCACACGGATAGTGATGCTACGTACGTTTTTCAGGCGGTCGGTCATCTAAGCTACACCGATGAGAGAAGGCATGGTAGAAAACATGACAGACCTCTTAATTCAGTATCTTAAGTGTCCCCTGAGTAACCCTTACCTTAGCAATACCCCTCTCTGCATACAGTATTTTGAAGGATTTTGTAAAAGGGTAGCAGTCCCTTAACTGAACTGCCTTGGTAATTGGAGAAGGCAAATCAGAATTTGAAGCTGCTGGTGAGGGTGGTGACCCACCATACTTAAAAAAAAAAAAAAAAGCCACCTAATCCCAGCCTCTGTCCTACATCTCATCTCAACCTCATCGCTGCTACGCGAACAGCCTCCCTCCACGCCGGAGGCCTGTTTGGGTACTGGCTTGGAGCGCCACGCGTCCTGCTGCGGAGCTGGCGTGTCCCACAGGACCTGCTCTTTCTGAAGGGGCTACTCGGAGTAACACACGGACAGACGTAGCTCTGTATAGCCTGTTGGAGCAGGAACAGCTCTGACGTGGCTGGCTAAACGTGCTGCAGAGACACGACAACAACAGTGTCCTAAACCCCTGTATCTGAAGACCATGCTTCTAAAGTCTGTCAGACTCATTTAGCTAATGTGCTTGCCTCCTACCCTTTGACAAAGAAATGCTTTGCTACCCTACAAAGAAAATTGTCTCTCGAAGCTGCACTGCTTATTCCTTAGTGTAGGTTCCTGTTGCCTCTGACTGCTGTAAGAAAGAATAGAAGTGCACAAATGCTTAGCTTCCAATGATTAACTTTTACCCATCTAAATTTTTATTTTTTTTTTAATTTTTGTTGTTTTTTTCCCTAACAATTTAAATGTACTGGGGGCTTACCCTGAGAATTTTAGAGCCTAAATTTCTGCTAACGCTGTTTTCAACACTGATACCAATGCCTGCTTGGAAAGCATGAGATAATGGTCTTATTCTCATGGGAGTGACACATATTTATGCCTGTGAGCAAATAAGCTACTAACCTTGAAGCTGTGAAGCAAGACTTCCATCAAGAAACTTGCTAATGTAGTGGAAAATGGTTAAATACAATATGTCCTTTCCCCGATGAAGCTAATTTACAACATAGTTCTGAAATATCATTTCAATATTAATCCTCACTATTTATGGTTAAATACAATATGTCCTTTCCCCGATGAACATAGTTCTGAAATATCATTTCAATATAAATCCTCACTATTCATCAGAAGAACAACGTAATTGAGGAGTAAATGCAGAAAACCTCACTGATTCCTACCAAATACTACTTCTGCTCTTCTTTGTACCAGGTCTGCAAGAGGAGAGCTCAGTGAAATAAAGTGACAGGGTTGTTCATTGCTTTTAATTATAAATTAATTCCCAGTAGAAGGGAAAAAGCTCATCCTTCTGGATTGAATTAAAGCAAACTAGGCTAAATTCCATTAAATGTACAACAGCTTTGCAATGGCGAAGAAATGACCTACTTAATAGATCTTTTCTGTTCCTAGGTTCTGCACAAGGCTTAATTACGTTTCCCCTTGAAACAAGAGAAATTAAGGATTATGAATGTCATGGGTTTTAGGACTGATCTGAGTTGATGGACTCAAGGGGAATATAACTGGAATATATACAAATAGAAATAGGAACGATATGGAAATGCATACAAGACGACTATAACTAGAACGGAAGCCTGTTTCTTTCCCTCCCTATCTCTTCTCAGTCAGGGTGATTTTGTAAGGCCCCGGGGTCGGCCACGTCTGCCAGACTGGCTCAGCAGTGGGCACGGTGGGTCCCGCTCTCGGGCCCCTCACTTCGGGGCGGCTCTCCTTTCCTAGCACCCTGGCAGCTAAAGCCACTGCTGCCCTTGCTGAGGGATTTGTAAGACGGTGCCTTCCACTCAGCTGCTGAGGGATAGGTAACTTTGAGTTGCAGAAAATTCTTGTCTGAATAAACTTAGATCGGAGTATTTACATAAAAAAGCTGAAATGAGCACGAAGCAAATTACACTGTGACCGACACAGTCTGACCTTGCAACCAGCTTTTGGCAAGCACCCGTTGTGAGTTGGTTCTGAAAAAAGCAAAGGACCAGGCACACGTTTTTTAATTGCCCCCAGCTTTTGTACCTCAAAAGCAATAAACCGCCAGTAGCAACATAGAGGCAGGGTCACAGAGTCAGTGTTTGAATGGCCAAGTGCATTGTTTTCAACTTTCAATCTTCATTTTGGAAGAAATTTAGCAATGGTGTCAAAACAAAAGCATCTTGCAGCCCTCTTAGTCCTTAGAGCTGTAACCCTACTTAGGAAACTGAATCTTGGAGGAGGGGCTCTGCTTCCTTGAGCATACAGTATGTGCACTTCCATCAGAAAATGCATTTTTTTCTTTCGTCATCAGTGAAAGTAAGGGGTTTCACCAGATAAATGTCTTTAGAGATCCTAGTTCTGAGTTTTTGGAAATCGGTTTTCAAAGTAATCTCTCAAATCAGAGCCTTTATGATATCACTGCTTTGTACTTATCTACCTTTATAATTAATATGCACAATGCAAAATTATGTGGGATGCTTATGTAGTTAGGAAAATGCTTTCTTGGGCTGTTTTTTATATTAATATTTAAAACTAGAGCTGCAAAATAAGATCTAAACCATTGAGTGATGGACTGCCTTTGTAAACAGCATACCTTTTGGTTGCCCTGAAACACCGCACAGCTCTTCTCCTCCCAGAATGACTTTGCCCAGCTCCTTAGCTGTAGTTAGAGAAGTTCATTGGAGGAATATGTTCCTTAGAGATTCTCCTGATTTCTGAGGCTCTTCCTCTTGGTTAAAGGTGGCTCAACAAGCTGGGCAGTTACCAAGTAAAGCAGCCCGCTGCACTCACGAGACTGTTTCATTCCTGGTGCCACCTGTTGGGGTCAGGGACCAAGATCAGGTGAGTTTCAAATTCTTATTGTGGCAAATGGCTCTTTGAAACAATTTGTAAGAGAAGAGGGGAAATGAATCTTAGGGGAAGGAATTGCGAACCTTCAGCTAGCACATCCTGCTGGAACGTTTCACACTAACAGATGCTGGTGGTGAGGAAGGAGGTAGGGATGTCACGCCAGATGTGCTGACTTTAAAACCGGAGCCTTAGCAAGGGATAGCGATGTGAGCTTTTTGGGTTGTTAGGGTTGTCTTTTTTGGTTTTTTCTTTTTGTTGTTGTTGTTGTTGTTTTTAATGACTAGCTAATTCTGAAGTCCCAAAAGGTTTAGATCTTACTTTGCAGTCCCCAAAAAAAATGTTTGGGCAGAAAACTCTAGAATGATGTAATAAAAAATAACGATGAGTCTCATGTCTGCTGTGGAAACCTGGGATCAGAGGAGTAAAATAACAATTCTCTGTTCAGGGAGCACTTTGGAAAAGAAAGGCGGCAAGGAGTTTGTGGAAGCTGTCATTGAGCTTCGCAAAAAGAACGGGCCATTGGACATAGCTGGAGGTGAGGTTCTGCGCTTCGGAAACCTGCAAACAAAACGCGGCGGGCACCGGCTTCGCTCTCGGCAGCAGGCTTTGCAGTCAGCCAGCCAAGCTCCTCCTAGCCCAGCCCTTGGGTTCATGCTGTCTGCAGACAGCTTTTATGGGTTACATGCTATTTGTGTTCTCCAAAGTGAAAGTACACACGTTGCATCTTAAGTAACCTTCCCAAAGCAGCTGGGAAACGGTGTCGTGGTGTAATATCGCAAGTAGAATCAGTCTAGTCACAGGTACCCGCGCACACAGTGAACATTGATTATCAAGGGCACCGTTCAGAAGAGCAATTAATCAGATGCTTATTTTTCAGAACAGTCGAGTCCAACTCTGTTAAACATCTGCTTTGCTGAAGTGCCGCTGACTTCCACTGAACTTAAGCACGTGCTTAAAGTTAAGCATCTGCTTGGGTGCTTTGTTTAATCAGTGCCAAAATCATCACTATAAAAGCTTATGACTTTTTGATGCCTAGTTATCAAAATTTATGTAATATCTGAGAGAAATCTACTATATGAGTAATAAAGTTTGGTAATGACGATATATAATTTTACACCATCTGTGAAATTGCTGATACATGTTGTTCATATAGAAGGCTGATTCTGCCATCTGTGTTTATGCTATAAAAATAAATACAGCGTGCGCAGTTTTGTAAACGAATTCTGACTAAAGCTGCAGAGGAGATGTAAGGCTTCAGGTCTGACAGGAAAAATTACAACTGTTTACTTCTGGTGCTTAATACGGGGATTTTTTCCCCCCTTGCTTTTTAAAGTTTTTAATAGGTTTTTCTTGGAATTCTTGTTCTGCAAAAACACAGAGAATCAGTTACTCACTGGTTTGGGTTTCCTGGTTTTTTGCTTACTTCTGTACCGTATTCCTTATCAGCCCAGCCCAAACTGCTTACAAATAGATTGCAAGTTGGAGGGAAAAGATTTTCTTTCTCAGCCATCAGTGCAGCCCTCGGATCTGGGGGCTGCTTGGCAGCCTTACCCCGTGGGGAGCTCTGCGCTGCACCGGCAGAAACGGGCTGCTGGGGACTTGCTGGAGGACTCTAGAGAAGAATTGGTACCCATCAGTTGCTCCATCATACACATACCCAGTTTTCAGATTTCTCAGTTGTATGGGTATCCCTTTAATCTATCAATAATCAGGATCTTTACCTGGAATATAATTGTAACTAGCACAGAACATATCCACGGTTCTGGCTTTCTACAGCAAAAGCATAGCTTGCTTCCCCTTTCGGAGCATTTGAGTTTGAAGTAAGGGACAACTGCTCTTGGTAATTAACAGCTGTCCTCAACAGAATCCTAATGACTTAATTAATGACTACTCTAGGAAACACTCCCTGAGAAATATTAAAGTTGGTGATGCGTATCAATACGATGTTTTATTCTTTCAGGATGAAGATATTACCCACATTTCACATCTGACGAGATTTGTCAGCTGCTTTTAATAGATTTTGCTTGGATTTATGATGTATTCTGAATCCGCCAACATTTTATTTGCACGTTATGACAAATTAGCATTGCCTAACACTGAGGCTATTCAACATGTTGAGAAGCTACAAACCCATAAGAACACAAATGCTTGTGCTTCCGTTGTCCTGCAAAACATACTCTTCTGATTAACCTCTGGTCAGAATGCCACGTGACAACGCCTGCGTTCTCTTCCCTGCAGCACCTACAGGGTAGTATACATATGTGACGACTGGGCTGCAAGGGTTATTTCTACTACACTTAAATAACAAAAAGCCTCCTAAACATTCCGCATTGGAGGAGAGGATTTCTGGCCTCTAAGGACCTTTACCAACTTGATTGTGTTGGGGTTTTTTTAATTAGTGATATTTTTAGTATTGTTTTTGAAGATATAAGCTGCCATTTTATGCCTACGCTTTTGTGGCCGCCTATGATTATATCCCAAAGCGTGCGTGTTAGGGGGCTGACTATGATGGTTCAGCCAGTGAGATTTCAACCAGCTCTTTTTCTTCCCTCCGCTTGCCGTTAGGGCGTTTTTCTTCCCTCCTTCTTTTTTTTTTTTTTTTTTTCTTAACAAACCAAAGTGACACGTTTTTAATTGTGACCACAGACCCGTGGGTTCAGAAATGGCCGTGATCCTCTTACCCTGTTTTCTGGCAGGCAGAGCACCGGCTGTTGTTGCTCTGGGATGGGAAGTGGTGAGCCCCGAACACGTTCTCCTGCCGAGAGAAGGCCTCTCGTCTGGAGAATCCCTGGTAGTAGGCAGGCTCTGCTGCGGCCTCTTAGTCCCCACACGTCCGTGGTAGTATCATGGTGATAATACACATTTAGCATGGTAAAAATTCTTCATTTCTTTGTACATACAAGGCCTTGCCTGTGGGTGTGTAAACAGTATTCACAAATATTGTGAATCTATAAATGCATCTTCTCCAACCATCTGTCAAGAATGGATGAAAGAGATAAACTAAAAATTAGCATTGTTTAAGTGGTCTTGGATGACCCATACACAACAAAGCTCGAATAAGACCAGGCCCAAAGTCTTGAATTCACACAAAATGCCTTCTTTACTCAGACACAAAGCTGGAAAGAAAGCAAAAATCTTCACTCACCTTTTTTTCTAGCCTTCCTTACCAGTTTGCAGAGCACTAACAGCTCTGAACTGATGCAGTTTGGGCTGCAGCGGGACCTGAAGCGAACTAAACAACCTGTATTTAGCAGGAGAGGCTGAAGGTCACCCAAGTCGTAGCTCTGGGCGACTGCCTAGCATCCTGACACTGCAGCTCTGCAGTAAATGGAACCAAGGCGAGATCGTCACTGCAGCGGGTTGGCATTCCAACAGGTTACTTGCTTTTCTCTTTACACGGTACACAAGTTTGCACAATCCCCAATATAAATGTGTTTCCTTTGATGTCAGCCATGAATTCTTGCCCTCTCTAAAATATGCTCAATTATAGCTATGATTTATAAATTACCACAGCAAAGCGCAGCTGGAAATGGAAAATACAAAGTCTCTGTAATCATGTTGTTATATTTTAAGGCCGTGTGATTTGTAATCTAAAACATTCACAGGGGCTAAGGGAATGCCTGTCAGTTGTTTGCTATTTTAATTTTGTATGCACTCTTTTAATCCAAAGGAGAGGAAAGCAATTATGTTTCGCTTTCGGTTCTTCCTAGCTGTTGTCAGTGCTGGCCACGGATTGCCCGCGAAATTTGTGATCCACTGTAATAGCCCGGGCTGGGGCTCCGACAAATGCGAGGAGCTGCTGGAAAAGACGGTGAAGAACTGCTTGGCTCTGGCTGATGAAAAGAAGCTGAAATCAATTGCGTTTCCTTCAATTGGCAGTGGCAGGTAAGGCTGTTGCACAAACCCAACGCCACATAGGTCGCGCTTTCCAAGTGCCATCTTGTATGTTCCAGTTCCTTCTCATGTACAAAACCCATTGCTACAACGCTGACTTAATCTTGTTTGTTTAGGTCAGTTCCCTGAATGAAATGTTCCTCCTAGGTTCATTCAAGCTGTGCATGGAGCCTGCAGTATTCTCCTGAATTCTAGTTCAACTTTGGCAGGTCTCAGTAGTCATCCCTGCAGGATCTTAAAACATGCAAATAGATTAAGGAGCATAAACTTTTTTGTTTAAAGACTTTTTTCAGACTATCACTTTGTTTGTATAAATTGGGGATGTGGAGGAGGACATGAAGAAAAGGGTTCTATTATGCCCAGGTTTAGTGCATAACTAAACTTCCTGAATACAAGCCTTAGGGTGGCCAGAAGACACGGCTTAGCATTTGTTTAAGCAGCAAACCTGAAGTGGAACTCTCAAGATTGGCAGAGTCACTTCAAGCTTTCACCCAAAATCGTGAGCATGCAGTTTACATCATGGGACTGTCTCCAGAAAAAAAAGGCCTTAAAAGCCTTTGCCAAGGTTTCTGAAAGCCAAGTCTAAAGTTAAGGTCCTTTGGCTTTGTACAGGATGCTCAGTGCCTTTGAAAGTTGGATCATGTTTGTAAGGGTCTAAATACGGACTACACTTTTAATCCCAGCCTCTCGGGCTTGGGGTGGGGAGGGAGGTTTGGACCACTGGGCCCGTAACGATGGCTCAGTATGAAGACCAAGGGCCAAATCTAGGCTGAATTACACAGTTGTGTATTTAACCCTGGACAGCTGCCCCTTTTGAATTTGCCGTGAAAGAGGTTGGCTGATGCACAGCAAGAATATTCTTCCCGTTGCGCCGTGTTGCAACACCGGATTAATTCCTGCATATTCTGTGGGTTAGGGCGGGAAGTGCTGTTTGAGCTTTTGGGTGAATGACACTGAAGAAACCACAGTATCACTAGGATAATGAATGTAAGGGATTTGCATCAGGCAAAGCTCCGAATAAGGTTAATTTGCATGGGTGTTATTTTAAGGAGGTAACATGAGCAAACTTTGTGGAATGGTAGAGAAATAGAGCCGAGGGTTCATACTTACCCGTTGAATTATCTGTCAGGTTCACAGGCTAGGCAGTACATGGAGCAGCTCTGAATTGCTCTTTAGGAGGAACTGCGCTCCTCCCTGGACTGGGGAGTGACCATGGAACTGGTTCCATAGGTGCCTAAACCGAGAGGACACAGAGTGCCTTCCCCAGAGCCCTTTCTTTTCTGGATAGCTCCCAGCAAAGAACCGTTCCCAGCCCTCATTGCAAAGTGGTTGATTGGTGTTGGAAGGCGGTGAAACCCTGAATAATCATGAGATTCACATTCTGTTATGAAATCTGGTTACTGACAGGCAAGATCTGTGGCTAAGTTCTCAGCTTGGCATGTGTGCGTCACTCTCACTCAAGCCGGTGAAGTGGTGCTTTCAAAAGATGGAGAGGAATCAAGAAGCCTTGAGAAATACATGAGGTTGTTTATTTTCCCTTTTTTCTCTTAATTGGAGATATTCAAGCATAAATTAATTTGGGAGAGAACAGGATATATTCTGACAATACTCTTGTTTCTATGAAGTCAGAAGTGTTCAAAAAAATAGAAGTAAAGCTTTTAAAGACAACAAATGCCAAAGACGCCACATGTATGCAGCTATTCTCGTACAGACATCTGTCAAGCAGACATCACCCAATAAACCCCCATAAACAGTTTCATTCTCTTTTATAGTTGAGGAATGGGATTACATGAGGGCAGTTCAAATAAATCATGGGGGGAAATAAAATAGCATACTTGTAGCATTCGGTGGGCCAGATGCTCAAGTGGAAAGCACAAGTTGGGTGCTGCACAGAGGTAGCCTGGAGTTCAGCCTGGTAGGGCCAGCAGGAGAACAGGGAAAGGGGAGTTAGGGATTGAACATAAAATCATCCTCGGAGTAAGGATTTCATTCGGAGCCTCTGACTTTGATCTGAATTGACACGAGCTTGGCTGAAGTCTCAGGCTGCCTTTTCACAAGGACTTAACTCAGACCAGTAGATTGACGCCAGAGGCTTCTGTTCCCTGCAGCCCACACATGGCCATTGGGTCAGCACCTTTCTTCTGGTTTTTCTACTCTGACTCTCTCCTTTCTGTTGGGAGAGTGGTCCTAAACAATTTACTTTAACCGGCTTCCCTTTGTGCATGCCTCCCTTTGCTGGGGCTGCTCTTCCTTTGTGTGCCCTGTTGTGGCCACCTTGCTGGAGCACTGCTGAAGTGGGAGTTGCAGGAGTTCAGGGTCCCCTGCGAGCAATTCAGAAGTGGTGCGTGCCCTGATTCTGACACTGGCCTACGTGACAATTCCTGCACAGGAGCAAAATCCCTCAAAGTTCAGTATGTGGCAGGATGCAGCACTCCTAAGTAGCAAGTGATCAGATGGGGGGCATGCTGAGTCTGTCTTTTGCTCTATGTAAGCTGACAGTCGGAAGCAGCTCCTGTGTCAAAACTGTGCTCTCAGTTGATTAACTTGTCACACAGCTGATTCTCCCTGATCAGCTCATTTGGCTTCGGAAAAGTACAAGGGTTTTTCACAAGGCTTTTTCCTTTTTTTTTTTTTTTTTTTCCTTCAGTAAAAGAAAAAATTGGGCGTTTTCAGAAAAGAAAGAAACAGCATGAACTGTTTCATGTCATCATTTTTGAATTATCACAAGCATTACCTTCAGGCAGCGTGTACAATATCACATTACAGGCAGCACTACCCCAGAATTGCTCTCGGAGTGTATTTTATGGTAAGGTAATGTGCAGTAAGCGGGCCATGACACAGGCAGTTGCCTTTCTCATTTTGTGTCTTGCAGCATGTAATGAGAGGCAGAGTACAACAGCATTTTATTATCAGAGTTTGGTGCCTCAGTGAGCAAATGCTAAGTGATGCTGTACCTGTTAGTGCCAGGGCTGAATTTAGCCCCGCTTCTTCCAATTGCTGAGGAAACTCCTGAGAAACTCAGCCACCTGTGCAAGCTGTGAATTATTAGTAGCATTAATAGTACACACTTTGTAACGGGCGGTATTGACCGTTGTGTATCTGTCAGTGCGTGTCAGGCAAGCAGGCGATGCTCAACGGGCTCTTTCAAATTCTGTTTGGGTCCTACTCGCACCAGAGCGCTCATGATGCCCCATCACCTTCAGCCCGATCACTGCAACGCGCATCCCTGCGGCTCGGGGAGTGCCCAGACGTTGGCTGGGGTGGAACCACGGTCTGGGGGGGGGTAGCAGTACACCAGGAGCAATACCGCAGCAAAGCTCGGGCCACATTCAAAGTCGTTACCAGCTGCCATTTCAGGAGTTTGCCATGACCTGTAAAACTCAACAGTTCGGTCGTGGCCTTGTTCGTGCCATTCTACTTGTGCTTGACCTGTTTTAAGATCAGATGAAACTTTCAGACAAGGGCTGCTCGATAAAAATGTGAAAAAGCTTGTAAGGGTTCCCAGGCCAGGCACTGAGCTTTGAAATTCAGTCACATGCGGCTTTGTTACCTGAGCAAGGAGCAAGGTTTGCTCTGTTTGTGGCTTCTCCAGAAGAAGGAGGCAGGAGCCTCTTCCTTGGGCATTGCTAGAGGGGTAGGAAGGCCTCTGGTTTTCAAATCTCTCCAGTTGATACCAAGCAGATGGCTTTCAGGATATTTTTCTTAGGGCTGTACTCACACTGAATCAGCCCGTCATTAAAGCGGATGTGAGGAGCGTTGGAAGGGTCGCTGAGGTTGGCTTAGAAAAGCCGTCAAGTCCCCTAAGTCTGTCCTCAGCCCTGACACAGCTACTTTGGCTTCCCAAGCCCCATAAAGTTAGGCTGAGGCCATCTGGACAAGGCTGACTGTGGCCCAAGAGGGCAGACTTGCTCACCTTCACTCCACGGGGTGTGCAATGGTAAGGGTGCGCCAGGGTTGTTTCGCACTGTCAAGAACTCATTCTCTCTTCCCTTTCAGTCTGCAGCAAGGCTGTACAAGTAACTTTGAAAATGTTGTGCTACATTATTAACCATTAATAGGGGCAAAACCGTTTTGTACTTTGTGTCTTCTCACGTTTCATTTTCTATATCGAGTTCTCTATCCCTTTGTGCTTTTCTTAACGCTTGGTTTGCTTTCAGGACGGGTTTGACTCTGTGACTCTTAATGTACGTGCTGCTTTCCTGAGCGCGTCAGGCCACTGCTGTCTGTTAAATGAGAATAATTGACCCATCAGATATCGTAAGGTTCAACCCATTAATGCCCGTGGACTCTCTATGCATATCTTGGGAATGTGTTTCTTCTGTTAGAACATTTTAAGTCTTGCCTACACAAGTTTGTAGCTTCTAGTTAAGCCAGTAAACGCTGGCTTTGGAGCTTTATTTACCGTGCGGCGGTAAAGAGGCTGAGCCTTCGCTGCGAGGTTATGCCACCGAGAGCTCCCTGGGCAAGTCTTGATTTTCTTGCTTTTTTTTTTGTCTCTCCCTCTAGAAACGGCTTCCCAAAGCAAACGGCTGCTCAGCTGATCCTGAAAGCCATCTCCAGCTATTTTGTGTCAACAATGTCCTCTTCAATCAAGACGGTGTACTTCGTGCTCTTTGACAGTGAGAGTATAGGGATATACGTGCAGGAAATGGCCAAACTCGATGCCAACTAAGCCCGGAGCGCTACAGTACCAGCCCCCTCGCCTGTCCTGCCCAAATCCTTAACTCGTCGTGAAGCGGAGCATCCCTTATTTTAAATTTTGCTCATCTAGGGGAATAAAGGTGGGGGTTTTGTTGGTTTTCTGTTTTGTTTGGGGGGGGTGGGGGTGGGGGGGATTGTTTGTTTTTGTTTTCACTTTCTAAAATGTTTTATGTTGGCACTGATAGTTGGCATTACTGCTGTTAATGCACTGTATACCAGGCATCGTCTGAACTTAGTGTAATCTAGGAGATTTTATAGTTTTATTTTAATGAAGTATGGATCGAAGCAGAAAGCCTTTAGGAGTATGTAGTCTTTTACTTGTGAAAGAAACAGGCCCGACCCTATTTTGTAACTGTGTTGTGGTGCTTTATCAATACATCGAGTGGCGTTCCTTTCATTTTTTAAAAGAAACAGATGCTATAAACCTAATTTGTGTTTGTTTATTGTCTTAATGATAAACCTGGAAGAAAAAAAAAAATACAGAAATCCTGTTGTCCTTAATTATATTTACAATTTTGAAATTGTGTGAATTGATTTAGTAAAATGTTTGAACAGTTGCTGTCGGTGTACTCGAATTAATTTTTCCCTTAAGCCTCCCTTTTCTAAGCTCTGAGGAGTTAGCTAGGAGAAGGGTGATTGAACGCCAGGTCTGAACCAGTGGACTGGAAACGTGGTTGGAGATGCTGGGCCTCTGACCAGTGCTGGCTGGGTGCACGCCCAGTGCCGCTCCCAGTCGCATCTTTTTTCCAAGCAAGCGTTCAGACTTCCCCGTTGGAGCTTCAGATCTTCCTGGTCAGGATCTGACTTAATTGGGAAGTTGAAGCCTTTTAGATCTAGCATGGCCTAGGATTTTTTGAACTGGTTCCAGTCATTTAATACTGGCCTGTTTGAAGCCATTTTGTACTTTTTCCAAATATTTATGAGCCGGGTTGGTGTTGGTTGCCGTATCATCTGCACAGCTGAAAGCCATACCCACATAAACCTTTACGGAAGCCGCTGGGGTTTGTGCTGTGAAAAAGAAGGGGTTACACGTTCAAAAGCTGTCGCATATGAGCGCGAGCGTGGAAGAGGAAGCTCTCCCTTTGAAGTCTTTAGCTTACTTTCTAGATCGCAAGCATACGTTTTCCGTCTCTGTTGAAAACTTCATTTGCGGATGAGCGAGTGCTTCACATCCACCCCGGATTGATCCAGAGCAAGGAGTGGACCAAATCTGACTGACTTCCTGGTAAGCTCAGGAATGCCAAATATTAAAAATGTGTAGCTTAAGCTCCTGCAAGCGTTTGAGGGTTTTTTGTGTTTTTTTTTTTTTATGTAGAAGTCCAGGTACCTGCAGCTTTCACCTGGACAGCTGTAGAGGACCAGCAGAAGGCAAATTCTAACACAGCAGTGTTATTCTAAACAAGGACTCAAAGCTGAAAGGAGGGAGAGGAAATTAATTTTGCGTCTCCGATACGTGAGGTGTTTGACCATGCCACGGGCTCAAACTTGAAATTTTTAAATGGCCAGAATGCATCCGGATCATTGGTCAAAGGCAGCGGACGGAACACGGTGCAGTGCTCCAGCACCTCACGGCCAGGTGGGCGCTCGCCACGGTTGCCCCCGTTCTTACCAAGGAAACGGCACCTGCGCTTCCCACAAGTCTCACAAGGTGTCACTAAAAGGACGGAAAAAATAGAAAAAAGCACGGCTGAGCCGGTACCTTGGGGATCGCTGGGTGTGAGAAGGGCCCTCATTTTTTCAGCAGAGAAGGGGATTTTTAACAGAGAAGGAATGTGCACATCAGCGTGAGCGCACGGATCGCAGGTTCTCGGTCTCCTCGCGCCGCAGCATTTACGACACTGAATCAAGCCTCACTGCTTTAAAGTCTCCGCATTTTTATGTCAGCAACAGGAAAAATAAATGTGTTTGTCCACAAGTATTTTCAAAGTAGTTAAAAGCACAGTGGCCTTCGATAAACCCGGCTTCTACACTGCTGCACCGCGCCGGGAGGGCCGGCTTTTGTCCATCAACGAGAAAATCCCAGAGCAAACAACTGTAATTCCCATCACGCGGGCTTACTTCTTCTGGCCTCGTATCTCATCTGCTCAGTCAGCTGCTGGCTCCAGAGGTGGCTCCACTGATTTCCCTGGGATTCCTTGGGATGCGCCCTTTGCTTTGGTCAGATTCAGGTGCTTTTAGGGGTTTTGGGGGGGAAAAAAAAAAAAGAAAGGCAGCCATGAGCATCTCCCACCTGATGGGAATTGGAGCACTCAGCACCACTCCAGTGTGACCAAAACCAGTTCATCACAGATTTTTTACACTGGAAAATGCTCTGCTTTCAGAAAGTCGCTGTTCTCGTTCCCACCTGTAGCTACGGACCACATTTTGCTCCGGTGTAAAATCATTTGCAGTCTTGTAGCTGGTCCCGGGGGGGCATCGCTGGATCCTCCTGTACAAACACCAGGGCGTCCCCTTCCTTTCTTACCCGCTCACAGGCCCATGCCCCCTCCCTGCGTTGGGAGAATTCCGTGATTCCGTTGCTCTGACCCAGCCTGATCCAGGAGTGACCTTGAACCCCTCGCAGCCCCAAACCCTGCTCCCCGCTGCGTGGCCAGGCCGGTGCCCGGGGGAGCGGCGAGGTGGCCTCCAGCATGGCCCAGCCACCCGCTCGGTGGCCACCCGCATTTCCCACAGCCTGAAGAACTCTGCTCCCAGGTCCTGAAATCTAGCAGGCTCTGCCAGGAAAGCCGGAGATCCCAGAACAAGTTTGAACTCTGCCACACGGGGCAGCCCACGGAGCTCACGGCACGGATTCAAGAACCTCAAAAGCAACAGATCAGGTTCTGTGCATAACAAGGAAAACAGGAAGAAATTCCTGCTACCATGTGCACTGCGGCCAGGACAGCGTTACTTTGGGAATCGCCCCAGAATTGGGCTTCTTGTAGCTGAGTGTGCAAGCTCCCTTTGCAAACAAAATAAACAAGTGGCACTTTGGGAAGGCCACGTGTGGGAAGCCTCCGTGAAAGCACCTTCGCAGCTTGTTCTCTTACTGGGAGGGCCAGTATGGATCTTACCTGAAGACAGCAGCTGAAGCAGACATTCTCTCTTCAACCCTTTCAAGGCTGTAAAAGGTAAAAGCATTTTTGTGGCCAACAGCATTTTCAATTCCCTATTTCAAATCCTGCTCGCCATTAATATTCTGCTGTTAGTCCACTGACTTTTTCCCCAGCAGAAAATTCATTGCAATCTTGTCCCTAGGGTGCATCACATTGGGTAACTTTAGAAGTTCCCTCTGATTTTTACAGCCCATCGCCTTCCTGAAGCTTTGCTTGGCCTGAGGTGTCAGCCGGTACCCTGTGCCGAGCCGGGCTAATGGCCCGGCCCCCACCATGGCCAGGTTGCCAGGCTGTGCTCTACCGGCAGCCAGCTCTTGCCAGAGGCATTACTGTGCCCCAGAGAGGAAGCAGAAACACAAGTTTGGGGGTCACCTCACCCCCCCCCGAGAAGAGGAGGGATTCATAACCACGCTGCCGGCTCATCCACCGCTTTGAATCCTTGTTTCCTGAAGTCCATTTTTTTTTTTAAATCCTGAAAAATAGGAGCGACAAAACCCAACATTTCTATAACCTTTACTTCTCTAAAACAATTTGGGAAGGGCAGCTCATTTGCCAGCAGCCACGCGGATGCACCTTCTGGATGATCTGTGCTCTGACGGACAGGTTCAACTTCCCACCCCCCGTCACAGAATCACAGAATCGCAAGGGTTGGAAGGGACCTCAGGAGATCATCTAGTCCAACCCTCCTGCTAATTTAATCCTGAAAAATAGGAGCGACAAAACCCAACATTTCTATAACCTTTACTTCTCTAAAACAATTTGGGAAGGGCAGCTCATTTGCCAGCAGCCACGCGGATGCACCTTCTGGATGATCCGTGCTCTGACGGACAGGTTCAACTTCCCACCCCACGTCACGTCCCACTGAAACCAGCCCTCTGTGCTTCACCATTAATTTAAGATTCGGTAACAACTCCTGCCACGTTGCCTTCCGCTCCTTTTGGATGGCGACTCTCTGGAAGCTTGGATTTAGAGTTTTGGCAAATTCAGAGGTTTAACCACCCCGCAGCAGAGGTGGGGCAGCAGCAGGGGTAAGGTGGCCGAGCGAGGACCAGCCCCGACGGGAGGTGCAGAAACACGGGTAAGACTTTTCCCATCCCGCTCCCCGCCAGCAGCCTGGGGGACCCCATTGCCCCCCGCTTTCAGACACGTGGGCCAGCAAGGGGCGGGATTGCAGCCCTCGTGCTCAGCTCCCACGTCTTGGGTCTTCCACTGTACATTTTGTCATCAGTATTTAGACTCCTAGGATAACTGAGAACAAGTAACTGTTCTAATTGTTTAATAAAGTATGGATTTATTTTTTAAAATAATCTAATTTTAGATCAATAACTTAACCCACCTGGAAGCTGAACACTAACACCAGTGCCTGTGTACTGACCACCCTCCCGCTGTCAGCATCCTCCATGGACAGGGCTGCCTGCCAGCGGGTACCCAGTTCAAACCATCGCTTCCACCTGAAGCATCCCAGAGCAGCCGCCTTCCCACCTCACTGCCACCGCCGTGCCAGAAAACTCACCCCTGGGTAACGCCAGCCCCGCTGGCACGGTTACATGGGGAGGGGTCCTGTGCTCTGGCCGTTGGGGGACACCAATATTTTACAGCACTTTACAAAGAGAGGTCTGACATCTGGTGAGAACGCTGGGTTTCCTCATGATGCTTCGTCCAGCTGGTGATTTCCAGGGGATGCTGGGTTGCCATTTGCTACACAGGTGTTTTCAAAGAAAGGCCTGCAGCTTGCATCTTAAATAGCATTAAAACCTCGACGCCAGCCACGAGCATCTTAAATGGCGTTAAAACCTCAACGCCAGCCACGAGACAGGCAGGACGTTGCTTTCCAAGCCCCACATTCAGTCGCTTCTTCACTGTTTTTCCCCAGGTATTGACCCCCCTTTCCACAGACTAATTAGCCCCCGATCATCTATTGAATGAGCCCTCTCTGCTACAGCCCGAGCGGGCGTTGCACCGGCTCCCTCTGCCCCATCGCGCGGCCGAGGCACGACGTGCAACACGGGCACGAAGGCGCTGATGGGGCAGCGTTGCAAGAGCTGTTCTCCGGAGATCTGCCATGAACAAATGCTTCTGTGCATGAGATTTCATCGTAGCTATAAAACGTCATTCAAGGGCTTATTAGGGACAGCATCACCATGATTATAAGCATAATATGAAAACATAAAGAGAGAGGCATTAACGGTTAGATTAGGAGAGCGTGTAACCCACCAGCCTCCAAAGACGCCGAGGAAGAGGCAGTAAAATGGCTCTGGCGTTGTACGGGTGCAAGACTGGAATCGGACTCGTTAGGTGTGAGCAAAGCACTTCTAGAAACGCTTTTTTCAGTAAAAAGGGGAGCCGGGAACCTTTCTGTGCATAAACTCTCCCAAAAAGCCAGCGTACTTACATCCCATAACCTGAGAGAGTGAGGAGTCGGAGCAAGCACCCCCAAGGGGAAATAACCCCCCCGCAGACAGGACACGGGGGCCATGTGCGGGCCGAAAGAGCGTCAGCCAAATGGGCGAAAGTCTGCAGAAAAACAAGGCTCTGGTTTTCCAGCATTCATTAGCACCAAGTTTTTGTGAGCTCCCTTCCCCTTGATCCTAGCTAAAATTGGGGTTTGTAGCCTGAAAAATAGCACTGACAGGAGCTGCAGGTGCCCGGGTACGTGAAGATCCGGCTGCGCCCTGCGGTAAGGAGTCACCCCCCGCCCTCCGGCGGTTTGACAGGGGATGGTAATGCCTGAAGCTGCAACAGCACCTCAGAGGGAGCAGCGTAATTGCTAGGCCTGGAGAGCACAGGTAAGCAGAAGGATTGCATTTATATCCCCGGCATGAAACCCAACAGGAACCGGGCTAGCGCGCGCTGGCTGAAGCGCTTGAAAATTGCCACCGACTCCTCCTCGTGTCGAGTTCTTCAGAGATTTAGTTCGTTCCTCCATAGAATCCCACTTAATGCCTCCCCAACTCATGTTTAACCATTATCACTCGCAACCCGCTCATAAATGCCTCTTCCTTGTCAGAGCCCAGGAGCAGGAATCAAGGGGAGATGATGCTGCTCTTCCCTAATGCAAAGGAAGGGGCAACGACGCTTCGCAGCGCAGCCGACGAAATCCCAACTCTTCCACACTTTTCCACCAGCCTGGTTAACAGAAGAAATCTGATATTTTTGTACCTTGAAACGGGTAGCCTGCTCAGGCTTAGGAGAATAAATTAAAGTCGAGCCAAAGTACGCCTCAGCTGCAGCGATGGGCAGATTGATTTGCTTTCCATCTGGGAGATTAAATTCCACTGCCAAAAAAATGGCAGCGGCATAATTAGCTGTCAGTCAAGCTGCAGAGCGCCAGACCCTGCGGGATAATTGAAAGCCCTGCAGCTTCTCATTACGTACCATGGTAGCCCTATTTGCACACTTCCACCTCGGGAAGGGTCTCCCAACGCGGCCAGCGTTGCGCTTGCTCCTCCCGGCACGTTCTTCCGCAGCGAAGCGGGAGTACGGCACGGGGATGGATTAATTCCAAGTAACTTTCCCTTTAACCTACGTTGGTTATAATATATTTGTCAACAGCCCCTGACAGCTCCACTAGGCTTTAATTGCAAGCAAGCCCAAGCAGCTGGAAGGAGATGGTGGGTCTTCCACCCCGGTTGTGCCCAGGAGACCCCTTTATGGGCATAAAACCCACCCCCCTCCTTTTTTCTTCCCTTTCTCTCCATCACTAACCCTCCCTCATGAATGCTCTTATTCAGCAAATTGTAATTCATAATGAGCCCATCAGTATGCGATATTACAAACATGTTTCATAAAATAACCAACCTTTCCCCCCCCCCCCCATTTCACAAGGCTTGGGCACACCGCAGCGATGGCCAGGGGTGCGGGGAAGTTGAGGAGCTGAGCTCTGCAGAGCAGCCCAAGCCTTGCTGAAGGCTGCGGCGTCACCTTGGCAATGGGGCAAGAGGCAAAAAGGGCCCAAGGAGTAAAATGCATGGCAGCTTTCATCCTAAACCAGAGGGAATGCGT